CTGCTGAAGACTGTTCTCAACATGCTTTTGTTAATGGCCATCCAGTCATTCAGATTGGGCAACTTAAAAACAGCCAAATGCATTACAGGCCTAGTCTTTGAGACCTACTTAGCCAACAATTAAGGTAGTTCTGGGAATGCCAGGGAGTTGAAATGGATTTTTTTTTCCATTCTTGGTTCTGTGATATGTTCTGCAACACAGCCTAAACAACTGCTTAGGAAAGAGAATGATATAATGATATGGTTAAATAGGTATATTTTCAAATTATGCAGTAGACAAAATGGTGATAAATCCATAAATACAATTCTGTGAGAATAATATAACACAAGTTTAGAATTTTGCAGCACAGTGTTCTAAAATATTTAAGAAATCTAGAGTGCTAAGGAAAGGTCGAATTAATTAAGGAAATGGCTTGCTTTTTAAATGTACAGGTCTGTCTGTCTGATTTTAATGCTAGCAAAACATATGGTTATGCTTAGGCATCAAAATATGGGGGTCACTTTATGCAGGGTCACTTTATTTTATATCCATCTATTTTATGTAAATGACTATGTATCTGTAAATCTTGTAGCTAATTTTGATCTAAGCTAAGTACACTAGAGTCTAGTTTATAGATGATGAAGAGGACTAAGCACCTGTGCCAAGGGAAGAGTTGTCCTGCAGAAGTGCTCCTGTATGCCTACTAATTATAATGAATGATTTTGCAGTTTGGAGATTGTCTGAGTTTGCGAACTCAATCTTGTCAGTCCAACAAGGACTGCCTGGACTGTGTTTTTTATGCATTTTTGAAAATGTGGACTGGATATAGATCTTCCTTACTTCTTTGATTTTATTGGCAGTAATTTAAGAAAAATTATAGAAGTAATTGTCTTAATTTTATGGGGCATTTTTACATCTGCCTGTGAGCAGTGTATCTGTTCTAGTCACACAGTAGCCTAAAAATCTTAGCTGAGACACAGAGATATCATGAGAAAAAGCCTTTACTGGAAAAAAAAACCCTTACTGATTTCCCAGTTTGAATGGGATGAATCATGCTAATTGTATGCTGCTAGCTGCTTAGTTATATTGCATTCTTTTTCTCTAAGAATGTGCCTGAAGTTGCCACAGAAGCATTTTTGAGGTAACAAGCTGGCTAGAACACTTTTTGACATTTCTATAGCCCATATTATTAAACATCAAAACAGAGAGCCTTATCAAGGACAGAATGCTAAATACAATTTTAAATATCAGTTTTATTTTTTTTGTCTTGGCCACCAATTCAAATCACCAGTAATAGTGTGCGTTATTGTGTGAAGACAATTACATTTGTATGCCTTGGTTATGTGGCTATAAACAGTATGCTGTAGTGAGAAGTATAAATATAGACTGTGCACATTGTAATAGACTTGCTAGTCTATTTTCAGGGGATAAATGTGCTTTCAGTAATTAGGCAAAATACAAGGACACCAACTGTCCAGAAAATATTTAGTGGAAAGTTGACTACAACGTTTTTTCAATGCATTAGCTATGGAATTAGTATAAGCAGACATTTGAAATTTTTCACGTAGTCTATAGATTCAGATGATTTATGCTCTTTTTAGCTTTTTATAGAGAATATAGGTTTGTTTTTTTCTTCAAACGGTGTCTAGGTCTCCTGGCTACAGTGCTTTCTGAAAGCTGATGGTATAAATGCTGACAAGAAAGAGAAATAGGTTAAGGAGGAATTCATCTGTGACTAGTCTAACTGCAATTTTAGACCAGGAGAAATTGCTTCATACCAGGAGACTGCTTCATTCCAGGAAAACCTGAAGGCTGCTTTAGTGCCTGTGTGGACGGACACATCCTTCATCCATCTCTCCCTGTTCCACAGCCCTGCTAACATGACAGCTCTCCCTAAATACTTTCTGTATACACATTTTGGCCCAATTGCTTCTCTTCATCAGTTTGGTTTACTCAATAGCACCAGCTTTTCATTAAATGATGCTAATTCCCTGGGAGATAAATGATGGAAGTGGGGTGATCTATTCCAGCCTTAATTCTGTTTGTTCACACTATATGTATTAATTGGTGTTAGACTTTTTTTAAAGGTTATTTTTGTCTTAATTCTGTCTTGCACTGGATTGCAGTAGGTGATGCAATGAGGCATATTTTACCCAATTCAGTACTATGTGTACATCTGATAAATAAGATTTTCTCATTTAAGGAGTCCTGCCTTATTTTGTAAGCAAAGTTATCGTTGTTCTAACAAATAATTAATAACTGGGAACATTAAGATATGCTAAAATCCTGAGCTCCTAAAAGGAAGTAGTGACTTAGCAGCCAGGTGGGGAATGAGGTTCTCATATAAGCAGAAATTGAAGTGCTCCAATGAATAATCATGTCTGAAAAACTGAAATAATTTTTGAAATGTTGAAAGACATTAGAAATTTTGACACAAAGCACGTCTTCACCTTTAACAGCTGTGAAATTTTAAAATAGTTTTTTTTTTAAGAAAATAACATAATTAAACAACAGTGTTAGCAATCTTTTCTAGCATAATGTTGGAAATGGCATGTCAGTCTTTTTGTTGTTGTTAAGATACACATTTTTCAAAGCATGATTTATCTCTGTGGGACAGACTTTTAAAATAGCTTACTGTCAAAAATTCATCATTAACAAACTTAATTAATTATTACCTTTTTAATCAAAGATTATCTTTGTTAAGTCTTTCACCACAGTATTATTTCTATTAGCAGAAAAGGGGCAAGAGGAAGGCAAAAATGGCTACTTAATTATTTTGATAATGTTTTGAATTGTTTTCTTTTTTAACAGATCTACATTGCAGTGTTAGTTTCATTATGTTTGTTAATCTATGATAAACCTCAACTGCATTTGCTTTCAAGCAGCATGCAAATCTAAACTATTAAATTATTTTCCTAGGTTCCTGTTTTGGGATTTTCTATTACATATGTATGTCTGCGTTGTACTTAATAAATTAAATCCATTTAAAGTAGGAAAGTTCTACATTTTGTCAAGTTATTAGTACTTTCTAATGAATGTATTCCTCTTGCACACAGTGTTACAATACTGGTAGAGTTACGTTCTGAGAATGTATTTTAATTATTGATGAGTCGCTTCAGCTTTCCTATCTTAAAAATTTATTTAAAACTACAGCTATGACTAAAGGCAAGAATTTATGCTTTCTCAAATTATTAATCTAGTTTTAAACATGCTTTTGCTTAAAAAATGCATGTGGTGTTAATTCTAACACATGAGAATTTTAACTTAAAATATCATTGCTATTATAGTTGCTAAAGGTATTGTTTCAGAAAAAATATTTTAAAGGAGGAGATAATAATTTACTTATTCTCTTTCTGTTCTATGCAACGAATGCAGACCTTATTTTGACATTTCATGTTCATAGTTATTGTACAGTCTCTCAAGCTAACAGTCAGTTTAAACAGGAGGAGGCTGTTAGCTTTGGAGGTGTTGGAAATAAATACATATTCAGTGCAAATATCTTTGAACACAGAATAGCTTAAAAGTGTTAATATATTATGGTAGTTTTCAAATTTAAAACTTACTCTGATATTTACATAACTTATTGTAAAACATCTTTGAAAATAACTTTTAACATGCTAATCTTTTACTGCATGTGTATGTGATCTACTACCTGGTAACGAAAATAATCTATACTTCTTACTAATATACTGTAAAAAGAGGGAAGAAACTTTCTTCAAGATTCTGGTGATCTAAGATTTATATGACTGCCAAACATTTTTCAGTAAGGTTCTTCCTTTGCTTGCTTCAACTTGTTTGAGATTAACAATCAGATATTTCCCATGTTTAGGTTTACCTTGGATATTTACGTTTAATGTGAAGTTTTATCCTCCTGATCCTTCGCAGTTGACTGAAGACATCACTAGGTATTCATAGTTCCTAATTTTAAACTTTAAAATTACTGTTAGTCTAATTTGAAGGCCATATACAATTTCTTCTTCAGTTTCTGGATGCTGTAACACGTTTGGCTATTACTGTAGAACACTGCAGATATTCTTTTATCAACTGCTTTTTGGAACATGTTTGAAAAGCCAAAGTGAAAACTTGAGGAAGAAACCCGAGAAAGAAGAATTTAATGATAAGTGGGGATATGATTTGGGTGGGAGGTAAGATATGAATAATCATATTTGAAAGAAGCCAGTGGTTTATTGTTGGGCTGCTGCTTTATATATAGAGAATGAGCGTTGTGGTGGTATTGATATTAAGAGCAAAGCTCAAGGGATTCAAGGTATTAATCTAGGCTAGGTTGATGAAAACATCATTTTATACATATGCATTAAATAAAACCTTAAACCATAATAAAACCTGAGAATAATTCTCTTCCAAAGTCCTTAGAAAGTACATAGAATGCAATAGATACTAGGCACCTACTAATATAAGCAGTGGGTAGAGTGCAGGGAATTGATGTTCATTTTTTCAGGAGTTATGGAAAACCTAAACACTTTTGTTTCGGTTTGGAGTTAACTGGCTCTGCTGAGGCAGGATATACATTACTACATATTGCGTCGGATCAGCCGTCTGCACAAAAGTAGTGTGTAGTTGATATATTACTACAAACTGTCTAAGACATTAAATACGCAGTGTATTTAAAAAAAGCTGCCTGTGTTTTCTTTGAAAATTTTCCGACAGTTGACTTGTCAATTGCATGTTCAACTGATGAAAGCATTTTTATGGTTATAGCTTAAAGCTAAATTCGTTAAAAGTTAAGCTTCATTTGTAAAACTTTTTTTTTAATTTACATTAAAATTCTGTGCTAGGGTAGGATGTCTACTGATTGTTAACTTAATAAATTTGGTAGAAGACTGTATGCAGTACCTGCAATAATAAATTCTAATACATAGATGGTTTAAGGAAGGCAATTATGGGTTCAGTACTAAACCAGATTTCTTTTGTGTATTACATGACTTGGTTAGCTCATGAACTGCAAGGGATATAAAAGTTAGAATTTTAAAGCCAAAGGGAAATTTCAGGGGAAATGCATGGGTTTTTATTTGTAGACCTTAGATGCCTGCAGGCTAGCATGTGAAATAAAGGAGTTCCTAAGTCAGCTTTTGTTACAAACTAGATACAAGTTTTTCATTCATTTATGTTGGAAATAAGAATTTTTCCTACTTTTCAGTTTACTCTTTTTTACTTATGAAAGCAATACTGACTCCTAAAAATAGAAGTGAAATTTACTGTGTGGCAATAATGCTCAAAATAATATAAGGTGTAACAAATTATTAATGGATTGACTTATTTTAAAATATGCTTATACGATCACATGCATCTCTATAAATTATGCCACATCTCTCATAAACTTGCCATTGGTAACACTTTCTCTATTCTTGTTTTTGTTTGTTTGTTTTTTCCCCCCTTTCCTTTGTCTTGCAGATATTTCTTGTGCCTACAGCTTCGACAGGATATTGCTTCTGGTCGACTGCCATGTTCTTTTGTGACTCATGCCCTCCTTGGTTCATATACCCTGCAGGCTGAGCTGGGTGATCATGATCCAGAGGAGCATCGCAGTGACTATATCAGTGAATTCCAATTTGCACCCAATCAAACTCAAGAAATGGAAGAGAAAGTAGCTGAGCTACACAAAACACACAGGTGTGTCAGATACAGTGGGATTAAATTAAATCATCATGCTTTGTCATGTTTATGTCAATTCTCTTAAGAAACTGCTAAGCTGAGGTTACTGTTGCTTTCGAAATCTTTTGCTATGTAACTGAGAACCTCTTAACTTTCATGTGTTTAAAAATTTCTGTTTGAAAATAGTAGCTTCACTAAGATCTCAGATGAGAACTTTTGGAGAAAATATTTTTATCTGAGCATATGAATTAGTTTAAGCAACATACAGCTAAAATATTTTGGAAGAATGAAGATGGAAGTCTCTACTAAAGGAATATAATATGTTTTAAAAGAACGCTTTCCCTTTAGGACAAAAATGCTATTGATACCTTACAAACTGAGGTTGTCTATGTGTCTGAATTCCAGGATTCCACTCAGTTTTGATTCTCAGTTTTTGTGTCAATAAACTCAAGTCTTATTCAATGGTTTTAGGGGCTTGACTCCAGCACAGGCGGATTCCCAGTTCCTAGAAAATGCTAAGAGACTCTCCATGTATGGAGTGGATTTGCATCATGCCAAGGTATTGGGGATTGGTTTGGTTTTGTTTTCTTTTAGGATAAACATGCTTAGTATTGAAGAACATAGTATATATAGATTATTTTTAAATTGTCATACCTTCAATTCTTAGGTATAAGCCTTTTATCTCTTGGTCATGATAATTACTCAGTTTACAGCTCTAACAGCCTTAGAATTTATTTTAAATCTAGGTTTATTTAATGCATAGACATATATGCAGCTTGGAAAGAATATTTTGTTCAAGAGAGTGGCTGGATATATTTTAAATGTCCAGTTTTTGATGACAAGGAGATGTGGGGCCATAAAGTAAAGCCTAAAAGAACATATAATTGTTTTTGTAATACTATGAGAGTTAAAAACAGAGAGTATGGGGGGAAGTCTTGGGGGAGAGTGGTTTTTTGGTGCTTTTTCCACTCCTCTGGGTAAATCAAATCAAATTTGTGTTTCTAGTGGGGTTTTTTAGTTAAAAACCCAAGAAACCAGGTAACCAACCCCCTCTCACTCCCTCGCACAAATCCAGAGTCTCAAATCATTAGGAAAATTAATGCGTTGTTGGAGTATCAGAACTACCTTTAAAAAAGAACCAAGACTTTTAAGTACTGGAGAAACATTGTTTAATTCTGTTTCATATGGAAACATTGTACACTTGTTTTTGCAATTTTCCATAGACTTCTTCCTGTGTTCTGTTAGAAACACTTGAAAGAAATTAAATTTTTATTCATGTACATTATCTATGTCTGTAATGTTTATTCACTTTTTCAATACAAGTGCAGCATGGCAATTCACTTGGTCTGTAATAATTTAAGGAAATGAGATTTTCAGAGTTTAATTGGAGCTTTCTTTTGCCATAGTGTAGTAACTGCAAGCATTAGAACCGCTGTTTGCCAGAATCTGCTTGCAGCTGTTTGTTGTGCCAGTGAAGCAACTTTTTAATGACAGCGTCAGCATTTTATGTAGTTAATTTGTTGCTGGGGAGGACATGAGATTCTTCTGTATTGTGTAGTGGTACAGTGTATCGAAGCCTTATCAGTAAGTGATGAGTTTTGTGGCCTGTAAAACTTGCATCAGACGCTGTCAATGGAACAGAATGCTCAGAAACCTGGCCCACCAGCGCATTGAGTGAAATCATTACATTGACATTTTCAGCCAACTAGCCATTACTTCCTGGATCTTTATTGGTCTAGTAGGTGACCATGATCACCAACTTGTTCAGACTTTCATTGACTGTTTTAAGTTGGAAAGGCCTGTTTTTAATTTTTCTTCTTTTAATATTTGTTGAAGTTATTGGTAGCACACCCACCATACCTCTCCCTGCTTGCAAGTTGTTGACTTAGTCCCTATTGCCAGAATATTGAAGAATTTCACGGAACTATGGCATATGCAGATAGAAGCATGCCAAAGTCATTACTTTAAGCCTTTCCAGTAAAAATAATATACTTGGCTGTTTCTGTTTTAAGAATCTCATTGTCAAGGTCTTTCAGGTTTGAATATTAAATGAGTCCCGGTTACATTATTCCCTCAAGGTATGCCAGCAATAAATACTCGTTTGGAATGTTATGAAACTGATTTTTATGAAATTGTCTCATACGTGATAGGATTCTGAAGGCGTGGATATCATGCTGGGTGTATGTGCTAATGGACTGCTCATTTACAAAGACAGACTCCGGATCAACCGCTTTGCTTGGCCAAAAATTCTGAAGATTTCCTATAAGCGAAGTAATTTCTACATCAAAGTCAGGCCAGCAGAAGTAAGTGGCACCTTTCTGTCTTGTTTCTTTTATGAGTCCATTTCTATCTATCAACAAGAAAACATCCTCATTTTTTACCCAGATGTCCTCACAGGCGTATGTTGTATTCAGGCAGAACTTAAGAATGTTTTGTTTTCCTCTTCAGATTTTACTGATTGTATTAAACACTTATCTTGATTAGTAAATGCAAACCAAGAAGAAAACCTATTTTCTTTTGTTAATAGATGCCATCTTGTAATTTTTTTTTTTGTCACAGGGAAAGCTAGTTACACTGGCCATGTTGTTACTGTCTATACAAACTTGCAGTCCTGGGAGAGAGGCAGCTTCTCTTTCCGTTTGGGTATAATTGTTCACTAAATGTCAATGTATCTAGTTTATGGGTGTAACCAAAGGCTGGAGTGGTCCTGTATGACATTATAACTGTTTCTGTTAGCTGCTCTGGAAATAAGGAATTCCATTTTATTTTCAGATACCATTATAAGTTTGTGGAGTTGCTGAAGGTGGGGGGTGTGTGTTTCATTTTGAACACATTGTAACTGGAAATTCAACAAAAAACCAGAATGTCAAACACTGTAATCCTTTTTTAGATTATACTCTAAATTGTTTAAGGTAGCTTTTACTGTGTGAATAAATGAAACAAAAGACAAGTCTAAATACCAACAGTACAATACTAACACTGTAGTTCTCTAAGTTTTGGAACACAGATGTATTGCTGTTGCAGTCACTGATGGTTCATAGATGTGATATTTTTGCTAAGAAACTATTACATTGTGAAATGGATCAGATAAGCTTAACACTGCAGTATGGATTTCAGACTTTTATTAAAGCCAAGGAAAGTGTGCAGCACAACCTGCAGTACAATTACTTTATGCAGTTTAAAAATAAATACACTGGGCAGCTAGTCAACAAATCAGCAAGGAACACTAAAGTATTACTGGACTTCTCAAAAAAGCCATTAGTATGGCTAGGAAGTGATAATGTGGTTATTACCCATCATGACTAGCCCACCAAGTATAATTTTATTAAAAGGTTGAAAATTCTGATTTTTTAAATTTTTTTTTTTTAATCTTATTAAGTATTCTGACAGGAGAATTACAGCTTGTTACAGTAATGGAACTATCAGAACTCTGCCTGCTAGTTAATAGCCAGCTTGAGGAAATGGGTTAATTTATTTGTGGATTCTTTCCAGCTGGAACAATTTGAGAGCACTATTGGGTTCAAACTGCCAAACCATCGGGCTGCTAAAAGGTTATGGAAGGTTTGTGTGGAGCACCATACTTTTTTCAGGTAAACGATAATTCTCAGCTTCCTCCACCTTGCCAGGTATGTTCATATCTTTCTTTTAAAGCGTATGAGGAAAGTAGAGGAGATTTCCCCTCTCTTTGCCCCTAATTTCTCAGTCCAGTAACACCTCTTAGACAGAAGGCACCCTAACAATCATTGACCTCAAATTACCAATTCTGAAAGTCTCAAATGCAACTAAGTGCTTTATTTAAATGTTCAGATTGCTAACAGGATGGAACTAAACTAGTGATCATACGTAAGATTTCATGAGAGATTGAATGTTAAGAGTGACCATCTAGAAAGCCATTCTACTTCACAAAAATCTCCCAGAGCTTGACAGTAATCTTCATTCACTTCACTTTTCAAAATATTCTGCTGAGTGTAAACGCTTACAGATGAATTTTTCCTTATTTATAAACTGGGCTGAGTTCACAGCCATTCTTTAAAGAACAGAGAATCACTTTAAAAACAGATTACTATTTGTTTATGTAATAATCCATACCTTTCTTTGCATTTTTTTCCTCAGCAACTGATAAATATAAAATTCCGAATTGGTCATTGAAACTATGGTCTATTTGTAAATAAGCAATTTAACAGCAGACCACAGAGTTGTTTCTCTTTCCACTTCCTCCATTGAAAAGGAATTTGAAAATCTTCCTTTGATTTTTATAACAGCACTAACTCCACGAGGCAGTGCATGTGCCCCATGCAGCCTTGGAGTCACAGATTTAGGTTGAATCTCGTGTGCATTCAGTAGGCACTGAATCATAGCTTCTTGCTTCAAATGAGCACAGTAGCTAGGGTATGTAAAAGGTAAGCTTTCTCCTTCTGTATCCTGTTTTTTATTTTAAAAAAGCAATTGTGTTTTAAGGTGGATGCAGTCCTGTTGCTGAATACTAGTCTAAGCTGAATATACTTCCTAGACTGAGACCTTCAGAGAACTTGGGGACCATAAGACCTAAGCAGTTAATTACTGGAACTGTCTCACTGGATGGTTTCCAGTATTCAGATTTTCACTGAATGTAGAATATTCTTGAATGCAATGTTAAAATTTATGTTGACATTGGCAATCAGTCTCAAAATGCTTAATTTAGAAGCACTTCTTTTTTTAAATCCTGATCAAAGATTTTATTTTAATGTTTGGTAGAATTCATTAGTTAAGTTTATTAAGATAACATAGTCCACCATTCTATTCTTCTTTAAAATTTGAAGTCTGCTTTGGCTGGTGATGTCCATTACCACAAATAGCATGCCATTCTGTCTGCAATGAAAAGTCTATCAACACTCTTCAAATAACTCATGCAGTGATTTGCTTTGCTGGGAAACTGTATTTACTAATTTTATAGTAATAAAATGGACCTGAGTAGGGAAAAAACAAATCCTGTGGAAGTCAAAAATCCTAAACTGAGAACTACCATTTGCAGATGTAGAAGTTTTCAGGAGCATTAATACGTATCAAATAATCTTATGACAGAAATTCTGACATAATAAAAATAATTGGATTTTATTCCAATAAGAAGTGGCTTTTCCTAACCAGGAATTATAACGAGAATTACATAACAAATACTTGAGCCATTCTGTAAAATCCATATGCTCCACTGGTGACATCAGAGAGAAAATCCTCAGAACCTCTCATCCTGATTTAAAAACAGTAAAATAAATCCATCTCTATTTTTCTCCAAAGATAAAAAGTAGAAAGCAATTGCTCCAGTCCAAGACACTGTAGCTCTTTCAGAGCATGTGTGAAGCTTGTGTATGATACCACAGTAAATTGTATTCAACCTAGATATACATTTTTAGCTTCCAGATTTCTTAGCATGCCCTATATAATATTGTAAGATTCCTTGTGTTGTCTTTTGCAATGTTACCATTTTTCTCAAATAATTACACTGAGATCGATCTTCTTATAATTTATGGGAAATTTAGCCACTATATAAAGTTACTTATAAAAATTTGTAATGAACTATATTGAAAATGACAAACAAAAGTTATTGGATTCACTTGTATCAGCTGAACCTTACAGGATTTCAGTACCATTTTCAAAGAGCAGCAATCTACTTTAAGAAATACAGTCAGACTATGTATCTACATTAATCTTTTGAGGTAAGCTTAGTCTGCAACTCTGGATCTTAACCAAAGGCTGCAGAAGCGTGCTTTTAATTCTGCTGATGTTTTATTTGAAATTTTCATGATTGTTTCAGTGTCTCCCCAGAAAAACTTGAAATGGTGAAAGCATAGTCTTCAGTTATTTTATGTAATTAAGATTGTAATACAAAAAATCCATTCAAATGCCCTTAATCAGGAAGTAATTAGTTCTCTTTTTTTTTCCTCCACATTAAAAGATTAAAAATTTATCTCAGCAGGGTGGAAGATAAAAATGGCAGTAAATGCTGTAGCCTTGCCAAGACTGGAAAATAAAGAACAGAAGGAACCTTGGAAAAACCCTCTTAGCCTTCTTCCTCTTAATGCATAATGCACTCTCTCTTGGAAATAATGTGGAGAAATAAATTTTCACAGAGATTACATAAGGCTGTTTTATAGAAGCAATGAAAGTGAAGTTCCAGATACTTGTGATTTTTTATTACATAAGTGGCCTTAGTGCAGAAGGGTGGATTAGACTGTCTTGAATTCTGTTTTCTTTAAAAATGTGTTGGAACAGATTAAGATTCAGGTGCGTGCACATGCATTTTATGCATGCAAAGTTGGACCTTTCGGGCTAGCGCTCTGACAAACCCATAAACATCCTCTCTTAGGGAGAATGGTAACCTTCTACCTAGCTCACCGTTCTTTTTGCTAAGTATCTGAAAATTCTTCAGTTTTGCTGAAATATCTTTAGAAGGACTGTCAGTTTTCAGAACCCACCGCTGGATACTTTCTTAATATATGTTGGATCGGATTCCACTGACACAGATGTTCCCTGTGCAAACACTTCAAAAGAGGAGAACAAAGTCAGCGTACTTTTAAGTCTCGCTTGCCCATCTGTGCCATCCTAAGTACAAAGGGTACAGTAGTTGCTGGTTCTGTGTGAAAGAAGCCAATGTTCAGTGAGCTGCTCATTCTTTGCAGATCCTCAAATCAAACAGCTCTATCTGGAATGGTCTGATGTTTTTATACAGAGGGAGAATAGGCCACGGAGACTGCCATGCTGGGTGAGCATGTATTCGCAGCACTACGATGATCCAGGCAGCAACATCAAAGACCTTTCTGGAGAAGCTGAGACTGGGAAGAGTTCCGCATTGATGACTGTTTATCCAGTCAGCAAGGATGGCACTGGAACAAACAATACCCTCGGTGTTGAAGCTGACAGCTTAGATTTGAAAAACAGTATAAGCAATGAGAGTTATACGAATAAGAGCTTGAAGTCCTCATACTGAAGAAAATTCAGGGAGGCATAGAGGACCTGTCTCTTCAAACTCATGTGGTGTCAAAAACTGGTGGAACAAAGCAGAATCCCTCATAGCAAGTTCTGCCACACTGTTAGACTTTCTGACATTAACTCTAATGCCAGGTACAAACATATACAACCCACATTAATAGTACTCATAACTGAATCTCTTTTTCACCCTTTTCTTGATATGCGTGTCCCCCCAACCTTATATCCAGCAAGCATTAGCTTTGACAAATCTATAAATGACATTGTAAACAAAATGGAATCTGAATCTAGGTTGTTAAACTTCTTACTCTTGGGTCACAACTCTTCAGCAATCTCAATCTTTTTTTTCACTTGATACAACCTGCTGTGCAGCTTTGAGATGCCATTCCCTAACTTTGAGGAATAATGGCTGCTGTATTGGTACCTTGGAATATAGGAAAGACAGTGGAAGTGAGATCTATAGTTTCTACTGTAAGTGACATTCTAAAGGAGAGAGATCTCAGAGGTATTTTACATGGACCTATAATGGCCTTAGCTTTCCAGAAAAAATACCATTTAACCAAGATGGCACCAAAAGATAAGGATCCCAGATGCTTAGTCATACTGTGGAAAACATGATGGTTATCAGCATCGCTTCAATTCCAACCACAAATAATTAATAACACATATTGGTTTAGAAAGCGTTCTCAGAGGTTATGGTAGAATCCTTTCTTGGAGTGCATAAATCATGTACGGTGAACTAAAGTTGAAATATAAGTAGCTTTAAAGTACCTCATCAAATACATAAAATAAAGCCTTTTAAACTATCTTTCTTCGTATTTACTTTTTAGACTTGTATCACCAGAACAGCCTCCAAAAGCAAAGTTTCTAACCTTGGGTTCCAAGTTCCGCTACAGTGGACGTACACAAGCACAGACGCGACAGGCTAGCAACCTCATAGACAGACCAGCTCCATACTTCGAACGCACTTCAAGCAAACGTGTTTCCAGGAGCCTTGATGGAGGTATGAAATTTGACTTATTTCTTCAGTATTATGATTACATTGTGTTGTCACTCTGATGTGACCAACATTCAGAAATCTTGACATTATGGATGGCCAGAATGTCAACTTACAAATTTATGAATTTTAATTTCTGGTGGGTGATGTGAGGAATAGCCACTTCAGTTACTTACAAACTTTAAATGACCTGAACAGTAAGTTAAGTCACTCCCTAAATTGTATGGCACTGCTGTGCATATATGGAAGATTCTATATTGGACATACAGTATCTGTGTTCACTACCCGTATCTGTTTTATGGGATAGGTATGCACTATATGCTGTTGATTAGAATTGTTTAGTCAGTGGCATCTTTTGGGCTCTGGACTGGCCTGAGTGTGTCTCTTTACACCAAACAGAAAAGGCAGAACAAGTTGTTTCTTCTAGTTTGTGGAATTTTGTTCAGTATATTGCTATCCTAGTATATTTTTTAGATACTTCCATGTTTAGTTAACAATTTTTATGTTAAGGTTGTTTGAATAGCTAAAAAGTTTGTGTCATTACTGGTGTTTGGTCTCTTTGAGCAGAAATACCTTCTGATTTTCCTTTATTAGGAACAGTCATGCTTTCCAAAGGCAGGTATAGCAGCAGTGTATGCGAGAGATGTAGAAGCAAATGTTTTACTCTAAGTCACTTCTGAAATAACACAAAGTAGAAAAATTCTTCAGAAAAATTACATGAAGCTTGACTTAGATTCAGGCATACACAACTCCACTAGAATAAAAGTGAACTGTGACAATGATGTGAATTTAGCTACAATTCAGCTGTTAAATTTACCTTATTTTCTCAAAAAATCTTTTACTTAGAAGACTTTTACTTCTGCAAATACTCATTCTTCTATACTGGGACAAATGAGCAAACTGTGACACATGCCTGGGAAACCTACAGTCTGAGAACCGAAGCAAAAATAAGAGGCAAAAGTGCTTGTGCTTATAGTGTGTGATGAGTCCTTGTGGCCACCAAAAGACTCGTCACCACATCAGTGTTGTGGTTGGAGTCCAGTTTAGTTCCTGTATTTCTTTTGATTTAGAAACTATTTGAATTCTTCCCAACTCTCAGAGACTGTATCATCAAGCCTTTCTGTGATCCCTTGTGCATCATCTGCAGAATTCAGATGTGTATACAGAGTCACAGAATCATTAAGGTTGGAAA